CTACGGACAAGACATGGCAATACAGTGGATCAGAAATGCAAATGAGCCCAGAGAAGTGAAAAATCATAATAGAAAGGACTTAAAATTTATGTTCTCATTAATGCCTGGGAACTTTGTTGCCTTCAGCTGAAAAATCCACTTGGTCTCCTGCTGGAGGAGACGTTTGTTGGTGTCGCCTCCTCTAGTTGACAACTTGACATGCTCAGTTGTCAAGTGTTATGTTTGTTTTCATTAGTTTTTTTGACTGCTTTTGTATTACTGTGATTTGTATATTATTGTATTGTTTTCTTATGCAGCTACAGCCACTTGTACCCCCTTAACCCCTGAAGAAGCTATCAGCGACATGTTGGGACAAAATCTTTCACTTCATCTTCATCGGTCTTTTCATTGTCCACATGATTTGTTACTGGATTATTCATTACCAGATTTAGCATTTGTGTGGTAAAGATGTTGACAGGGGTGACTGAGCCACGTATAGTAATGGTTTTAGGGGGTTTCTTACTCCAATATTATTTAATGATTCTGTAATAAAAGCTCTTGTTTTATACCCAAAAATCCTTATTTTTTTTGTTCGAGGTGTATTTCTATTTGTACATAGTTTAAAGTCACTGGTGATGAAATGCGTCCTATTTATTTAGAAGTGAGCAGATGTTATCATGAAGCTCCTTAAGTACATCCTTGGCCTTAGTGCTAAACACCACTTTAAACTTCTGCAACAAATAATGCACAACAACCTCTATTAATGTAAATACACAATTCATCTCCTCAGGTTCGACTTAACTGATTACTTTAATCTGCTTAGAAGAATAACATCCTGAAGAGCCATGTCCAGCATGTTGTCATTAGCCAGGTTTCAATCAAGAGGAAAACACATTTCTTTATCTTCCAATTAACACTCAGTATCAAGTCAGGTCAGATATGTTACCCAGTGAATGAAGGTTAGTCTGAAAGAGTGATGGAATAGCTGACCTGGTCCCGTTTGCTTTAACCCTTTCATTGCCAGGTCCATATGGCGTACAGACCTACAGCACTGCATCTAGCTGACCAGGTCCATATGCCCTACGGACCTGCATTCCTCCTTTGCCATAAGCTCATGGTCACTTTAGTGACCATGAACTTATATCAGAGATGTTCAGCAGATTCTGCTGAACAAAACGATAGCTCTGATTAGCTGCTAATAAGCCGCTGATCAGAGCTATCAATCTAAAATGTTATATCCCCCTTGCTGCCACTTCTTTACCCAATGTCTCTGTTCCCTCCACCCACCTATGCTAACTTCTAAAATGCCCCCCAACCCCCCTCTTACTGTCCCTTACACTGCATTCCCTGCCTGCACTAATTACTTCCCAGCACAGATTCCCCGCAAACCCCAATCCATCTGTGGTTGCCCTGCAGCTGTCAGCTTCCCTCCTCTGCCTCTCCTTTAGACTTTCTGGGCAGCCACAAAGTGATCCATGTCCCAGACCAGATGCCCCCGCTGCTGCTCCAGCCCCCCTTTTAGTGCCCCCCACCTCTCCTGTTTCAGGGTGCCCCTGCCTGCTGCTAGCCAGCTCTCCATCCTCCCTATCCCACTGGCTGCCGCCACTGACAGATTGCTATCAGCATGGAGAGCTGGGGGGGCCCCCTTCCTTTTTTTGTTAAACACATTTACCAGCTCCTTTCCTGTCCTCATTGAATACAGACAGCAGTCAGTACAGATCACATCTGTATTCATTAATCACTGACAGAGAGTAAATTGTGTTTACTATCTGCCAGCTTGTGAATGAAACAATGTAAAGACTATGTTTCATTTAATGAATGACAAAAGTCTGTTCAGACTCCTATCTCATTCACCTACAGTGCAGCTCAGGCTGAAGAGAAAGGGACTGTCTAAAGCCCCTTTCTCTGTCTCAAAAATAAGACTTTAGGTCTGTTTAGACCACTGATGTCTCTACAAAGTGCCTCCTCCCCCCCCAAAAAAAATATTAAAAATATTACAAAATATATTTAGTTAAAAAAAAAATTAAACTGTAAAAAAAAATAGTAAAGCTAGGTTCACACTAGTGCAGGACGTGCAGCCCCTGTTTGGCAACGCAGCCCACTCAAATGAAAGGGCTGCTGTAACTTAGCAGTGTTTCACAAAAAAAAAAAAAAAGACCATGCTGTTTCCCTGTGGTTACCACACCCGCAATTGCGCTGTGGGCTGAGATGCTTGGGGGTGCCATTTAGAATTAATGGCAGCCCCCACATGTCTCACAAGGGCAGCTTTCAGTCCCTTTCTCTATTTAAAAAAAGAGATATTAAAGGTCTGTTTATACCCCTAATGTCCCTCCAAAGCCCCCCCCCCTAAAAAAAAGTACCTCTACTAAAAAAAATAAAATAATTGATTTGTGAAAAACATAAATGATAATATAGAAAAACATAGGGTAGATTTAGAAGTGTGTCTACCATGCCCACTGCCTGTTGCAACTTTTGTGGGGGGGGGGGGTGTTTGGCAGGCGGCAAAAAACGCAGCTCAACCATGCATATTTGCTATTCTAAACTTCATGTCTAAACAAGGTCATAGGCCTCATTCATGCGGGGCATACTACAGCAAGGCCATGATTAGCTGCACAGGGATGCAGAGGTGTTCTGTGCATCCCCATTGATGTTAATTGAGACACATTGGTTGCATGGGAATGCACAGGTGTTCCTTGCATTCCTGTGCAGGCAGTCCCATCCATATCATTTGGGACGCAGTGGCTGCATCAAGACAGCCACTGCTCCCAACTTGACATCCATGTGGGTGCAAGTCCCTGAACTCACATTGTCTGAATTGGGGGCCATGGACCTACACCCGCATGGATGTCAGATCTGTCCTTGCAGCTGCTGTGTCCCAGTTGACGTGAATAGGACTGCCTGCACAGGGATGCAAAGAACATCTGTGCATCCCCATGTGGGTAAACACGACCCTCCATGGACATATGCTTTAGTACATTCCATTGAATGAGGCCACAGTAGGAATTTTGTAAGTTGTGTTGTGGTTGTGTGTTCAAATAAGGATTTTAGTGTTTTTTTAATTAAAATAGCAATTTGATAAACATTTGCGTAACCTTTGTGGTACCTAAAAAAAAAAAAAAAAAATTATTCTACCAGTTGTGTGCTTTCAGAAAATATATTGTTTGGGGGGTCTTTTAAAAACTTTGAAAGCAGTCAGTGAAAACCTCCAGATTTTTAGATACATTTTTTGCATACGTTCAATTTTCACCAATTTGAAAAATTTTAAATTTTTTAAAATTTGCTGTGTTTTTATCCAATAATGATTTTAGTGTATTTTCAGCACAAATATTGCTTTGATAAAAATTTGTGCAAATATCGCATAGCCTTAAAAATCAGTAACACCTTCTTTCCATTCTACTAGTCATGTGCTTTTAGAAAATATATGGCTTGGGGGGTGTTTTGCAAACTCAGAAAGCTGTAAAGTAAAAATAAAGCAATGCAGAAATTGCAAAAATGGTCTGGCCAGCTGGGTTTAAAAGCACAGGGCCTGGCAGCGAAAGGGTTAGGCTTGGCCAACAGACCAGACTGCTTGTCTCTCTTCTGCTTCCTTGCACACTGCTTCCTCTTGCTTTCCAGCTGTCATTGTCTACTGTGCCAGTTTGATGCCACTGGGCCCCCTGTCTATAGAAGTGCCTTTCCAATCTCCAGTGGATAATAAGTAGGCGAGTTATTAATGTGCAAGAATTTAGTTGGACGAAACCATTGGGGCTAGATGAACATATCAATGTCATTTGCATGCTTAGGAGTCTATGTATAAAAAGTTTGCTGAACGAATACTACACACATTCACACAGCTCCAGCAAAATTTTCCATGTTCTGTATTATAGAATTATATTGTATTATTGTATGCACAATCTAGTGCCCAAAATGCCTTTTTTGTTCCTGATTTATAGATTTAAAAACAAAATACCACTTGACGGCACTAAATATTCACATACAATGGTTCTATAACATAGAATATGGCAAACTTTATTGGAGCTGTGTCAATGTGTGTAAACATTTTATACATAGTGATTTTAAAAGAAAAGTCCTCAATTCTAAACTTTTTACTGCAATAGAAAATCGCAGAAGCAACTACTGTGCCACTGTACCTTCTAAAGCAAGTAATATGTGTGATTTTTTTGTTTTTGTTTTCTTTAGGACAAATCTTTCTTTGATGAGGCTTTCTAATTGTTGCCTAGCAAGACTAGTTAAAAAAAATACTATCAATGTCAAGTTGGTTTATGTTAAGGTATAATAATCCCATACAGTATTCTGCAACCAATTGGTTGCCATTTGAGTTATTTAAAAGAGATGAACTAAAGCCTAATGGAAAATAAGGATGCAATGTATGGCCAGTATTGATGCATCAGTGATTGCAGAGAGCTTAATAAACTCTTGGTTTTCGAGATATAAAAAATAATACAATAGAGGTCCCATACATTTAAATAAAAGCAACACAAGTATTTAAATAATCAAATACTTTATTGTTGAGTTGTGCAGTCTATGGCAGTTATTTATTTAAAAATAAACTGTTAAGAAAAAAAAAGTAAAAATAAATATGAACTGTTCCTACAGTGGACAATAACATTTTAACTGGTATCCTCTAGGGATATAAAACTGAAATGGGGCTATGAGGAAGAGGGATTCCTTCAAAATGCATCAACCTTGCCCTGATCCTATATGGCTACTCTTCAGGCGTTGCAGGGTCCATTGGGTCTCAGCAAAATTACATCACATGGTGACTTGTTCTGTGACCATTTATTGTAATGTTTGTGAGTATAATTTTATCTAGTTTTAACTAATTGATCCTTGGATAATGCACTAGGTTGGTGCGCTCTCTGTTTACAGATGCATTTGGTTATTACAAGTAGAGATGAGCGAAGTATTCAAAAATTCGATTCGACTGATTCGGCGAATTCGTGGAAAAATTTTGATTCGAGTCGAATATATTCGCTGTGAATTTAACTTAAAAAAGGGTGTTTCTAGGCTTCAGAGAGACTTAATATTAGTGCTGAACACTGTACCTTTAATTTAAATGCCCTTGGAGTCTGCTGGGGAAGAGAAATAATACTGTCAGTCAGTATGACATGCAGATGAGTGCCGTCGATCTTAGAATCACCGCACACTTCACTCATTTGGGCAGTCACGGGGCCAAAACCAGAGTGTGGAGCCACAGTGTGGCGGTGGAGGCAGCAGCAATGGGAGGCCATACAGCACCCTATGACAAAAATGGAAACCACCAGCAGTGTGAGGAGACCTGAAAGTGGCACATGGCAGAGTGTGGCGATAGAGACAGCAGCAATGGGAGGCCGTACAGGCACCCATGACACACTCTGGACCTGGCAGCAGCATGAGGAGGCGGTACAGGGGCCCATGGCAGATTACGGGCCTGGCAGCAGCATGAGGAGTCGGTACGGGGGCCCATGGCAGATTACGGGCCTGGCAGCAGCAATGGGAGGCCGTACAGGGACCCATGACACACTCTGGACCTGGCAGCAGCATGGGGAGGCGGTACAGGGGCCCATGACAGATTACGGGCCTGGCAGCAGCATGAGGAGTCGGTACGGGGGCCCATGACACACTCTGGACCTGGCAGCAGCATGAGGAGGCGGTACAGGGGCGCATGACAGATTACGAGCCTGGCAGCAGCAACTTGGACAGGAGGACGTTCAGCTTCTGCACCGTCTGGTGCGTGCTCGCAAACTGTTGTCTCTTGGAAACGGATTCCAAGAAAGACTGCTGACGGAATCCGTGAAGAGGAGTAGCAGGAGAAGGAGCATCTGAACGAGCGGAATATGCCAACAAGCGACAACAGGGGCCCATGACAGATTACGGGCCTGGCAGCAGCATGAGGAGTCGGTACGGGGGCCCATGGCAGATTAGGGGCCTGGCAGCAGCTATGGGAGGCCCGTAATCTGCCAGCACCCTATGACAAAAAATGGAACCCACCAGCAGTGTGAGGAGACCTGAAAGTGGCACATGGCAGAGTGTGGCGATGGAGACAGCAGCAATGGGAGGCCGTACAGGGACCCATGAGAGACTCTGGACCTGGCAGCAGCATGAGGAGGCGGTATAGGGGCCCATGGCAGATTAGGGGCCTGGCAGCAGCTATGGGAGGCCCGTAATCTGCCAGCACCCTATGACAAAAAATGGAATACACCAGCAGTGTGAGGAGACCTGAAAGTGGCACATGGCAGAGTGTGGCGATGGAGACAGCAGCAATGGGAGGCCGTACAGGGACCCATGAGAGACTCTGGACCTGGCAGCAGCATGAGGAGGCGGTATAGGGGCCCATGGCAGATTAGGGGCCTGGCAGCAACTATGGGAGGCCCGTAATCTGCCAGCACCCTATGTCAAAAAATTCTACACACCAGCAGTGTGTGAGGAGACCTCAAAGTGGCACATGTTTGAGGCATGATTCATGGCGGATTTAGTCAGTTGTGTCAGGAACTGGTGGTTTGAAATCCAGACTAATCCACGCCTGATTCATTTTCACAAACGTCAGTCTCTCCACACTTTGGCTGGACAGTCGTGTCCTCCGCGGAGTTACAATACCTCCTGCCGCACTAAACACGCGCTCCGATGCCACGCTACTGACCGGGCATGACAGCCTTTCAAGGGCAAATTCAGCTAGTTGGGGCCAAAGGTCAAGTTTCGTTGACCAGTAGTCAAGGGGATTGTCTACCTCGGTTGGCAGGGTGCTGTCCAAGTAGGCCCAAGCCTGTTGTTTGAGCTCCTGCTCCAGGTCCACCTGATGCTGCTGCTGCTGCTGCTGCTGCTGCTGCGGCTGGTTAGTAGTTTCCTCACTGCGCTGGTGAAGAAAGCTACTCATCATCGACTGCAGACTGAGGCAGCCGCTGCTGGTGGAGCTGCCACTGCTCCTACCACCCCACCCCTCCCCTGCTGCCATGGCAGCGGAACGCGAGCGCACAGGGCCCACAGTGTCTGAGGATGGACGTTGGCGCACAAAGGCAGAGACCAACTGACTACATAGGTGGTTTTTATAGTACGTTATTTTGGCCTCCCTCTCAGCAGGTGTGAAAAAGGCCACCATTTTTGAACGGTAGCGAGGGTCCAACAAGGTGGACAGCCAAAAGTCATCCCTCTGTCTGATGGTTATTATTCGGCTGTCGCTACGCAAGCAACCGAGCATGCTATGGGCCATTTGTGCCAAGGAATGCGAGGGACTCCCTGCCTCCATCTCCACAGCATACTGCCACGGTGCGTCTGGGTCCTCTGTCTCCTCCTCCTCCTCCTCTACCAGATGCTCCTGCTCCTCCACTCCTGTCCGCTGAGTGGAAAAACCACCCATTTCACTCAATAATTCCTGAGCACAAATGTCCTCCTCTACCTCCTCCTCTTCTTCCTGTCCTGCCCCCACAGGGGAGTACCTTTATCCGCTTGTAACATCAGGAAATCGGTGATGGCCTTTCGCTGCTCGTAAAGGCGGTCTAACATGTGTAGGGTTGAATTCCACCTTGTTGCAACGTCGCAGATCAGGCGATGATGTGGAATTCCGTTCTGCCTGCGCTGCAGCTCAAGGAGGGTGTGCTTTGCGGTGTAGGAATGGCTGAAATGCATGCAAAGTTTACGTGACATTTTAAGGATGTCTTGCAGTGGGATGGTGGATTTTAGGAACCGCTTGACAACCAGATTGAACACGTGAGCCATGCATGGCACATGGCACAACCTTCCTTGACGCAGAGCAGACACCATGTTCTTTCCGTTGTCGGTCAACATGGTTCCGATTTTCCAGTTTGCGCGGAGACAGCCATCTGTCGATTTCTCTGTTCATTACACTCAGAAGTTCCTCCCCTGTGTGACTACGTTCGCCAAGGCATACCAGGTGCAGAACAGCGTGACACCGTTGCGCCCTGCACATGTGATATGCCGGTCGGGTAATGGGACTCGGCACGGGGGTGGCGGCTGAGGACACGGCGGAAGAAGAGGTGGTAGAGGCGGACATCTTTGCCGGACCAAGGACGTGCAAACGTGGAGGCAAAAGCGGCGTGACCTGTCCAAGTTGCTGGTGCGGCTGTGACGGCACCACGTTCACCCAGTGGGCCGTAAATGACATGTACTGTCCCTGACCGTAGTTACAGCTCCACACGTCGGCGCTGCCGTGCACTTTGGCAGAGACCGACATGCTCAAAGACTGGCCCACCATGTCTTCTACATGTGAATGCAGGGCTGGCACTGCCTTTTTGGCGAAGAAATGACGGCTTGGCACTCTCCACCGCGGCGCGGCACAAGCCATCATTTCTCTGAAAGGTGCTGAGTCCACCACTTGGAAAGGGAGGGACTGCAGCACCAGCAACTTGGACAGGAGGACGTTCAGCTTTTGCACCGTCGGGTGCGTGCTCGCAAACTGTTGTCTCTTGGAAACGGATTCCAAGAAAGACTGCTGACGGAATCCGTGAAGAGGAGTAGCAGGAGAAGGAGCATCTGAACGAGCGGAAGATGCCAACGAGCGACAACTCCCCTCAGCAGAGGTGTTGGAGCCTTGACTGGCTGATGGAGGGCGATGACGTCGGGTGACGGAGCAAGTAACGGAGCGGGTGATGGAGCGGGGGCTGGGGCGGGCAGAACCGCCGTATCTTTATCACGGTTTTCCCAGGCCACCAAATGGCGACGCTGCATATGCTGCCGCAACGCTGTAGTCCCAACATGGGCCCCCTGGCCACGCTTGACTTTCTGGCCACATAGTCGACATACGGCTACGTTTACTTCCTCGGGCGGCTTGACGAAAAATTGCCACACACCGCCGAGTAGGAAACTTTGCCCCCGATACTCCTCACTGGCTGACTGCTGCTTCCTCCGTGCACACCGGCACCACTACTGGCCGTGGTGGTAGGCTGCAGTGGAGCTGGTGCTCTACTCCGTGGCCGTTTGGCTCCACTGACACTGCTTCCACTGACACTGCTGCGACCCTGCTGCTGTCTCCTGGGCAACCCACCGACTGTTTCGCTCACTGCCAAGCTGCCCCCCTCTTCTCCTGATGATGCGGAAGAAATTGCCTGATGACGACGAGGCTGCCAAGTGCGATCAACCTCCTCATCATCAAGTAGGGTCTCCGCCTCACTACTAGCCCCCTCGGCTGCGTCTGGGTCAGGAGACAGACCTGTCTCTAGACCGGCTACCGGCCACTCTCCTCGCCACTACTTCTTCGCCTGGCTGCTGAAAAGGCGGATGTCTCCCCCCGTTCCTGACCGCCCTCTGTTAGCTCTTCCTCACTGTACAGTGGGGCTGAGCCCACAGCATGCGATACTTCGCTTGGTGAGGGAACACCAAAGGACAGGGGCAGGTAGAGGACACGTGATTTCAGTGGGCTTGGTCCCGGGCCATGCCAACTAACGGTTGTGTCTGACGTACCCACCGACCGTTGGCTGTAGGTGTCAGAGGTGACCTGGGAAGAGGAAGACGACCGAGCCAACCAATCGACGACGGCAGGGTTGTCGGTGGAGACACGACCGCTGGATGACACCGGGAGCACTGGCCTCTGGCTGCGAATAGTGCTGCCTCGACCCCTTCCTCTGCTGCCACGTCTGCTCGCTCCTAAAACATTGCCTCCTCTGCCACTCCTCTGCATGTTGTCTGACATACTCTTTAATTAAACGATTATGTGTCCCTGAGTAACAATTCTGTGTCCCTGAGTAACAATTCTGTGTCTGTGCGAGTAACAATTCTGTGGCCCTAAGTAACAGTTCTGTGGCCCTCAGTAACAATTCTGTGTCCCTGATTAACGTTTCTGTGGCCCCAAGTAACAGTTCTGTGGCCCTCAGTAACAATTCTGTGTCTGTGCGAGTAACAATTCTGTGTCTGTGCGAGAAACAATTCTGTGGCCCTAAGTAACAGTTCTGTGGCCCTCAGTAACATTCTGTCTGGCCCTGAGTAACAATTCTGTGTCTGTGCGAGTAACAATTTCTGTGTCTGTGCGAGTAACAATTCTGTGGCCCTAAGTAACAGTTCTGTGGCCCTCAGTAACAGTTCTGTGGCCCTGAGTAAACAATTCTGTGTGTCTGCGAGTAACAATCTTCTGTGTCTGTGCGAGTAACAATTCTGTCTGTGCGAGTAACAATTCTGTGGCCCTAAGTAACAGTTCTGTGGCCCTCAGTAACAGTTCTGTGTCCCTGTGTAACAATTCTGTGTCTGTGCGAGTAACAATTCTGTGGCACTAAGTAACAATTCTGTCTGTGGCCCTAAGTAACAATTCTGTGGCCCTCAGTAACAATTCTGTGTCCCTGAGTAACGTTTCTGTGGCCCCAAGTAACAGTTTCTGTGGCCCTCAGTAACAATTCTGTGTCTGTGCGAGTAACAATTCTGTGTCTGTCCCGAGTAACAATTCTGTGGCCCTAAGTAACAATTCTGTGGCCCTCAGTAACAGTTCTGTGTCCCTGTGTAACAATTCTGTGTCTGTGCCCGAGTAACAATTCTGTGGCCCTAAGTAACAGTTCTGTGGTCCCTCAGTAACAATTCTGTGTCCTGCGAGTAACAATTTCTGTGGCCCTAAGTAACAATTCTGTGG